ATTAATTTTTTAAATTTTATTTTAATAATTTTACACAAGCAAGAGTACTTAATGAGCTGGGAATTTTTAAGCAATTAATTTTGTATTGACATAGAGTTGGTTTCAAGTTTTATTCCGATTTATGCTTTTGATTAGTCCAAAATAATTATAATTTTAACAATAATATTTTCTAGAATATTTATATATTAACATTTTATTATGTTTAAGAAAGGATTAAGTTAATTAGGAGTATTAAATGAGTTTTCTTTTACTATAAAAATCAAATTTTAAAATCGAAATATTCTTTACCAAAAACGTTTCTTGAATTTTTACAAAACTTATCATTAGGTCTGCCACAAATCACCTGATAAAAGATATAGTATTATATATAATATATGTAATTATTAATATTTAAAAAATAAATAACCAAAAATGTTCCGTTCTAGTGGCTTTCTTGACCGACAATCGAGTGTATTTTTGTTCCAAGTTTCCATGGCGGCATCAAGCATACGCCCTGTTAGCCCCTCGCATTCTTGCCCTGCCCAGCCTGCCTGTACCCCGCCCCCGTCTCCCGTCTCCCGTCTCTTAGCCCATGACAACCAACCAGAATCTCCCCACATTGCGGTACCCAAAAATGGCAAAAAAACAAAAAATAAACACAGCAGGAAGAAAGTCTAGAAGAAAAGAAAGCGGAGGAGCGGAGGAAAAAGAAAGCCGAAGCGTAGGACGCCGGACTCATGAAAGCTTTTTGCGGCGCACCAATGGCACCGCGTTATGCTCTTACACACACTACGAAGAAGACACACACAAACACACAGATAGACCCACTCATGTATAGGGGGAGGGTCCTGGGAGAGTCCTTGGAAAGAGAGAGGAGAGTGGCGAGTGGGAGGCGACTTTGAGAGTGTCCCAAATGGGAATACACTCACACAGGCCAGCCATCGACGAATACCGTTACGTGAGGCTACAAGCCAGAAGAAGCAGAAAAAAAATGAAATGCATAGAAACCATAGGACGAAAGGAAAAGCGGGACAGCTGGGGAAAGCGGTGGAAAAGCCGAGGAATGGCAAACCCAAAACTGACACCAAAAGCGGCTAACCCTTTATCGCACATAGGGTTTCCTTACAGGACCGCATATTTAGGTTGCAGTTATGGGGTCTCTCTCACTCTCTCGCACTCTCTAGCCCTGTCTCTTTTGCCCACTATCCATCTCTCTCGTTCCTCCATTTAGAGATGTGTATGTGTGTGTGTGTGTGTGTGCTTTGGACACAGACAGTGGCATACATATGTACATAGTTTTGGGTTACCCAAAATCGACGTGATGTTATATTATATGGAAAACACAATTTGCTCAACGGTCTGCCATCGTCTCTGCCTCGGCCGCAGTTGCCGTCGCAGTCGCTGCCTCTGTCGCAGTCGACGTCGACGCTAACTTTAAGTAGCACTCGAAATCGTGGGCGGTAACGATTTCTATATGTGTGTGCAAGGACCTAGAGGAAATGGCTGAAAAATGAAGGAGTTAGGAGAAAAAAAAGGGGGCAGAAAAACAAAAAAAAAACGGCAGAGGGGTGTTTGGGTAGTAGGGAATGAGGAGCCACTGTGGGGTTAAGCCTGGGGCATGCCCCGACAACGATCCTCGTACTTCTGCGGACTGTTACTAGTGCCATTTTGCGTGATACAACCATAAAATGGTGTCCCAGCTGGAAGAGGCATCAGGACATGAATTATATAAAAATCTACAAGCCAAAAAGGAGCTCAAAACGGGATGATAATCAGGAAAAGTAGAACCGCTCTTTAAATAATTCGTTTTAATTTTATTAAATATTTGATTGCATATTTTATATTGATATTTTATATAGTTATTAGATCGATTTCTTAATATTTTATATAAATTATAATTAGTGAAAGGAATAAGTGGTTTAACTTAGTTTATGTTTGGGAAGTGAAGAAGGGTTGCTTTTTCTTAAGAAATCTACACTTATGAGCTTGATTAGTTATTAAACAATTTAAGATTTAAGACTTATGAAAACAAAGCAAAGGAAAGCTAAAGGAATAAATGAAAAATTCTTTAAAGATCTAAGACAGTGAACAAAGGAGTATCCTTTAAAAAATTCGAATGCTTAAGTTTAATGTTTAAAACTTTTCGAATGTTTTTAAGAAATTTCTGATTCACTTATAGTTTTAATGATTTAAGAATTCAGCAAAGATCAAAGTCAGTTGGATAGGTGACCAATCTTCCTATCAAGAAATGATCTGCCGATTCATAATTCATCTCCCTTTAAATTAAATTGTAAAACCAAGGATAATCAATAAGAGTAGAGAGGCATAAAAATATCATAAAGCATAGGTAATTAAAATTTAAACTTGATTATTTAAGCTCTCTTGAAATTATTGTAGAGAGCACTTTCTTTTATTACTAAGAACGCACATCCTGCAAGAGAAAGACTTTTAATAATGAAACCGTCTTGTAAGTCCTTTTCAGTGCGAAAGTTTGAAAGGCTCTTTGGCCGACAATGGGCCCTCAAACGAAAGTTGCCATCTCAGTGACATCCGTTCCTACTATATAGTGCAATATGTATAAATATATATATCTATATAGCTATATAGAAGTGCACATCCAGCGATTGTTTTTTGCCCGCCTTTGTTTTGACTGAGCAGCAAAAGTTTCCATCAAAAAAGACGCCAGACATGGCGAAATGTCGAGATGATGACAACTTCTTCTTGTCTTAGTTTGACCCAGTTTTCCCGCATTGTACCGATATCAATGACTATATATACACATATAGAGGTCTATAGATATAGATATAGGTATAGGTATAGATATGGATGTGTGTCCGGGTGGGAAAATGGAAATGTCATGCAGCCATGCCAATCAAGTAATGCAGCTGCCTCAAGACGCAAGACGGAAGACGCCTTCTTCCGAGACGTTGCCTGTTGGGGGGATGAGCGGGACGGGGAAATCGGGTGGAAATGTGGGCGAGAAGGTGGTGCTGCAGTGGTTCGTTTGGTTGGTTCGTTGGTGTCACATTTTCGGTGAAATTTTGGTTTGCAAACTTTGGCAAAACTTGGCCAAGTATTTGGCCTCAAGTGTGTTAAAACGGGACGGAGACAAACCAGTCAGTCCGCCGGCGAAAGAGACGGCTAGCTGGGTGCGCGAAAGAGAGAGGGCGAGTGTCGGGCATGTGAGTGTATTGTGGTCGGTCTGCCGCCGGAGAATTCTCCGCTCTTCTCTACTCTTCTCTACTTAGCAATCTCTCTCACTCACTCACTCACTCTATCTCTCACTCAGCCAGCTACGTCTTGGCGTTTTCTTAAGCTTCGGCTCCTTGCAATCATCTACAGTGAGAGAAAATCTGCTATACTGGGACAAAATTCATTTTGAATTCACTTGAAAGCAAGCAGTTGAAAGAAACTTCTATTAATATTAAAAGAAATAAATGATGAAGACCCTTAAAGGACTTTTCAGAAATTGCAATTTTAAAAATCCTAAAAAGTGAACAACCAATTTCCAATTTCCTATCCTTTCCTACATCTTCTTTATAAAAAACAAAGAAATCTATTAGAATTCTGATAGATTTTGTTAAAAGAGAAATGAAAAGAATCTTTTTGCCACACCTGGCGTATACGTGATGTTTTCTTCGAGTGCCATTTCTTGGTCCTTTTTTGGTCGCCGACGGCATTGCCTTCAGCCATCTTATACAGACTCTCGAGCTGCTCCTGCTGCATCTTCCATAGAGTTTCCTGGAGAGGAAGGAGGTATCCTGCTGGATGCCCACAACTGTGGGCTGCCACTTGATGGCGGCCACATGGACATGGCCAAGGAGCCGAGCCGAGAGCAGAAGAGATAGAACGATTGCGAGAGCGAGACGCCACTGGCTGGAGGATAATTTTAATGAATTTATCTAGGAGTTTGTCTTGGGGCAGGTGGCTTCTCTATACATACATAAGCAGCAATGGCCGCCACTGCAGAAAGGAGAGGGGGGCGTATAGAGCTTTCCCCCTTTGAGGGGAGTCCTTTGCCAATGTTGTTTTGCAGCAACCGAAATGTGCGGCAGCATTTTTGGTCTTGCACAGTGGGCTATATGTGGTCGAGACGAGGCTTTTGGTTCTTCTACTCCCCAGCCTGTCCTTCGGTTTTTCCTGCTCTTGGCTCATTTTTTCGGGCTACGAGATTTCGGTTATTGGTCTTGGCATTGCACTTGGCGCCCACCAAGGATTTGGCCGGAATGAGCTGCTGTTTGGGGTCTTATGAACTGTCTGGAAATTGTAGTTTAAATACATTTATTTAATTACTTTTCATTGGATATTCATATACAGATTTAGTGGTTAGAGGTACTCAAACAGCAAAACTGGTTAATTCGATTTTTCCAAGTCCTTTTATCAACATGAACGCTAAGATCTGGAGGAACAAAGTTGGGATTAGACATGAAGATTAATCAAAAAAGATTTATTGTCTAAAATTATTTTTTGAAGAATTTTACATAAATATATTAAGTTATTTTCGAAATATGGCTCCGAGCTATGGGGAAACGCATGCGTTAGGAACCTAGAAGTGATGGAGCGAGCTCAATCAAAGATACTGAGAACTTTAACTGGTGCACCGTGGTACAGACGGAATGAAAACATTTACAGAGATTTAAATGTGAGATCTGTTAAAGATGAAATCGAAAATGTCAAAGCAAGGCTCATCCAAATAGGCTTGCGAGGTCTCTAACATGGAACACTAGCCACTCACGACTCCGGCGAAGAGATCTCCCCACCCAGCAACAGCAGCTAGGGCCGTTCTCCTAAAAAACTGAATTTTAAATTTATGTATTAGGCTAAGATATTAATAATTGTGGTCAGTCTCGAAGAGAAAAGATTTGATAAATAAATACCATAATTAAAGAAAAATATTAATATTTAAATAATATTTAATAAAAGTACCCAAAAAAATCTTGAAAATATTCCCATAAAAATACATAAAAAAAGATCATACAAATATCAATCTTAACATGACTCTCATTTGTTTGTCTTTGCAGGATTTGCCCATCATCTCGTAGGAATGCACAGCCACCTGCATGCGCCCGATTGGCGTGCTCATATGGCCTTGGGCGGTCGCCCGGCCGCCTTTCCCGCCGCCCCCTTTTTCACCCACCATGCGGCGGCCTTTCCCAACGCCAGTGGCCTGCGTGGTCTGAGTGGTTAGTCGTGAAATCTATATAGTATATTAATATATAAATAAGGTATATAATATACTCGTACATTATTCCAGGGGACAACCAGCAGCACCAGCAACAGCAATTGGCCACCGTGGGTGCGGCTCATAGCACCACCAGTCCGGAGGGATCCCCGACCACCACCACCACCAGTGGTACTCAGTTGAGCGCCTTTGTCCAGCCGCCGATGACGTCATCGCCTCCGCCGGTGACCAGTCTGCAGCACGACAATAACAATAACAACAACAACAACAGTAGCAGTCACATTGATGCGGGTTTCGAGAGCGATAGCATTTCCGTGACGGGATCACCGAGGAAAAGTCTGGGATCTCCATTGACCCACGACGAGGAGGAGGCGGAAGCGGAGGCAGAAGCAGAGGAGACGGAAGTGGTCGGATTGAATCTAAACAATGGCGGAGTTCCCGGCTCCCTGCACAGCGAAAGTTCCCCCGGTTCGGGTGGCGCCTTCACCGCTCTCATCCAGCGTAGTGGCAAGAATCCCACGGAACTATTTGGCGGCTTTGCCGGGGCAGGTGGCAATCACTTTGCCCCCGGCGGACATAGCTTTAATCCAGCTCTGGCCGCCCAGCTGTTCCTGCAAAGTCCACTCCTACCGCAATCGAGTCAGTGGCTGTATACCCAGCTATATGGCAGCTACAGTGATCTTCCCTGGCTGAGAAACGCAGCAGCTGCAGCGGCTGCCAACATCAATCCGAATCAAGAGAATCCCGGAGTGCCGCCTCTGAGTAGCAATCCCGATCACGATGGCGTTAATTTGATCAAGCGATGTGTCACTTTGATAACCCACAATCCGCCGGATGCCGAGAATGCCAATCCGAATGCCTCGCCACCGGTCAGCTCAACCAGGCGATCCCCGTCGCCGGTGGAAACCATAGATCTGGATGATGTCAGTACCACCTCGAGGTCGGCCAGTGGGTCAAGTGGTCTTGGTGGTGGTGCTGGAGGACCGATCAGGACGCGAACTCCCAAACCGTCGGCTGATGTCTGGCGTCCTTACTAGCGGCTGGCGGCCGCCTTGCTCGGCACTTGTCTGGCGGCCCAAGGTCAGGGGGGCGGTGGCGGTGGCGTTGGCGGTAGCGTTCCCAAAAAGGAAGAGGAGGAAGGGGACACTTAGCTGGTCCACAAAATCCAACAACAAGATACAATGGGGCAGCAGCGAGAGCTTGTGGTGTTGTGAATAGTCGCCATATCGCAGCTGGCGGGGATTGCTGCTTGAATTTGTTAGCCAAAGGATGAACTTAACTAAATTATAATTTTTTTTAGAATTTTCTTAGCAAGTTTGTTTGATAAACCAATTATTACTTTATTTTATTTTATTTTTATCTTTGAATTTTCTGATTTTCTGATCTGTAAACTCAATGGTTTTGCAAAGAAAGAACTTGGTAGCCTCAGAAAATCTTTGAAAATAACAATGCTAGATTTAAAGATCTTATTTAAGATTATGAGATCTAACATAATCCAAAAGCAAGCTTATTAATGTTAAATATCACTGCTACAAGCTGATTTACTTACTTAAGATATCAAATATTAAATGCAAAGATCATTGACTAAATGTTTGAGATTTCATAAAAATGAATTAAATCTTCCTTTAAGTCATTTGCCTTTAACCTTTCGACTAGTATTTCACAAATAACTAAATATAATTTAAAACCTTAAAAAAAAACTCACTATTAAACAACAAATTCAAGTAGCAAACCCCGCATTAAGTAATTTTTTGTGTTTTTTTTAACGATCAACCCTAATGTAAGTGGCTCACATATCGAATTTAAATCAATTAGCATGGCCCTAAGAATCAAATATATATAATTAGTTGAAGGCAGGGGCTCACATACATAATATATACGACTATATACGAGATCTGTGTACATTGAACATATATATATATATATATATCTTATATATATTGCTCTGTATTTCCCCCTCCTAAATATTGCAAAGAATTAAACTTAGAACTTAAGGAAATACATTTTTTTTTTGCAAAACCCAAAAACCTAAGAATATGAAAAACGGATTGAAATTAAAGTAATACATATTTTAAAATTTATTAAAAATAAATTTAAGTAACCACACAGAGACACTGAATTGCAGACACACACACAGAAACACAGAAACACACCGATTTGTATATAAGGTACTTGAGTAGTGTGCCAAAGATTCGTTAATAAAAATTTCAACTAAAAGAAATCATTTGTTAAATGTTTCGAGAAGTAGGAGGGAGACTTGTAAGTCGTTTAAATATTTTTATGATTTTAGAATCTATGTAAAAGGTAATTTTACACGAATTTAAGACGGAAATTCGTTTTTTGTAGCATACTTCTAGGCAATATAGGTCAGGCATTTCTTAAGCTAAAATCTTTTTATCAAATTAGATATTCGAATGATTAGAGAACTACTTTTTAAGGCCTTGCAAATATTTAAAAAATAATTAACAATAAGAGAGTATAAACTTGGATACATTCACCCTAATACCGCCCTTGGAAGTCCCATTTAAGGGTATGAAAAAATCGAGAAGCCGCAGAAAAAGGCAAGAGGCGTGTGAGTGAGAGGTAAAGCGGGGATTTGGATAATCAGCGCCGCCAAGAAAAGCTTTTAAGAAAATTAATTCACCCCCTGCCCGAGTCCCAGTCCCTTGAAGGGGTTAACACAGATATATATATATATATATATAAAGAGGAAAAGGAAAATTGAATTTATTGCCGGAGAGTCTTTGGCGGAGTTTTTGGCGCAAATAGAAATCTGGCTAAATAAAAAGTTTAAATAAATGGTCAAACTTGAAAGCGAAAAAAAGCCAAACAGAAAAATCCTAGAAAAGGGTCTCGTCTGAAGGATAAATTGCGGGGAGTGGGGCCTTGCAACTTGTGACGTGTACAGGGTAAAATTTGGCCCAAGCAGCTTATTTAAGTCGTGCGAATAATGAATGAGTTTTCCAGTTTTCCAGCTCATATTAAATGAGCTTGGCGGCGATCCAAGAATGTAGCTCTGCGCTTTTCTTTCACTTTTCCTCTCGCCATTTCCCGTTTTCCCGCCTCTCTTTCCCTGCCTAATGAAGCATAGAAACAATTAGCGAATGGCTTCTAAGACAAAAAAAAAGAAGATGAGCAAAATAAGGGGATTATCCCCCGGCGAACCTTTGGGGCTTAATGTAATCGCTTGTGTTTATGTAAGATTATTCATCTTATTCTTATTGTTAACTCTTTTTAAGACCACTTAGTAGTATTAAACAGGCTGGATAATCATTGAGATCTGTAAGTAAATTTAAGGTTTTTCTACCATCAAGAAAGTAGAAAGTTAACCCCTAATTCGCACCTTCATCTCCTTAGAGTTTAATTTTTTGTTGAGGACTAGAAAACCCATCATCTGTCAAGTGCTCCACAAATCCCGGCCATATGTGATGTCTGGCAAGTTTATGCCTCGGAAACCCCATTATGGAGATATCATGTGTAAGCAAGGAAAAGGTTTATCTAGCGTGCTCGAATCAGAAACAAATGGCAGAAAATTAACTCGGCCTTATGAGTTGGAACTGACAAATCGCCGGGCACATCCTGGCCCCTGACCCGATCCCTGTCGTTAAAATCCGAAAATTAACATACTCAAATGTGAACGCTTTTCGTCCCAAAAAAAAGCCGACTGAAGAAATTAAAAATGAATAACCTGAAACGAAGGCAATGATGTCCTGTCCTTCGGGGGTTGCTTTCAGCTTTCCACTTTCGACTTTCCACTTTCGACTTTCCACTTCATCGTTATCAACGCAACCTTGTCTCGTGTCACCTTTTCTGACACATCCTCATCCTCGTCCTTGTCCTCATCCGCATCCTTATTTTTATCCTGCTCATGGTCAATGGTCCTGACAGTCTCAGCTGCATTTTTGGATTCTTTTGTAATGGTTACTTGGCGGGCTATAAGGGTAGATTTCCTTACAGAGGATATTCATTACAGCGATCATATTAGGAAACAACTCATGGTTACTCTTTTAAGTTTGTTAATAATTATTTAGTTTTATAATCAAAGTAATAATAAACCTTAGACTAATTTAGAATAAACTATATATACTGCTATGAGGATAGGTATCTTGCATTCGATAAAGTAGACTATAATTGCCTCTGCTGCTGATTTTTTTTGTGAGGCAAAGTAAAACCGAATCGGAGTCGGGAACTCCGGGTGGCTGCCTTCCAATTTGGCCTGTCATAAGAAGGAGCTGGGTTCGAGGACCAGCCGCCTGTCTGAAGACGTTGTCCTGGCTACCCATTTCTGTCTCAGATGATGACTGGCATTTGATGGCGACAAATGTCGGTGGGTGTATGTATAAGTGGGGTGGATGGGTGTTTGGCAATCTTAAGAAATGGCAACGGCAACGACAACGACACAACCTAATAAACTGTTGCCCAGGACGACCAGCATTTGACATTGGCCGGCTTTTAACCTACACCGCCCTGTGCATTTCCACCAGATTGTTGGCAACAAAAGACCAAACTTTCATATCGTGTTTGAGGTTGAACAGGTTCGAAATTAAAGCATCTGCTCCTCTTTTCCTTTGCCTGAAATTCTCCACTCCCACCCATTTTCGACTGTCGCTCAAGCGTTAAATAGAAAATTTTATGGCCACTCGTTGTGAGTGTTAGTGTCCTGGTAACACACGCACACAATTGTCCACTCGGAAATACATACAAAAGTATATATATAATATATATACAGAGGAAAATGGAAACCACTAAGAAAGTATTCTATTAATGATTAATTTGAAAGGTTTTAAGGAAAAGAGAAGAGAGACTCCTTAAAATGATGTTTCCCTTTAACATCCTCAAAGTAGTTTTTCCAAAAACGTTGCCCCTTGTTTCCCCTAGTGTAATGGCCCACACTTGGATCGCATTTTCATTTCAATAAGTGGGCTTTCAATTAACGTTTTCCAGCCCCCGGAAAAGCTGCAGCCCCCATTTAAATGGCAAGTAATTTGACTTCATGCCATTATCAAGCGCCAAAAACTTGTGCAAATCAGAGGGATGGCAACCGACTTGAGGCCTGACAGAATTTACCGTTTGCTGCTAATTATGCCATCATTAGAGACACCCCCTATACACACACACACACACACGTACACACGTACACAAGCACACATGCAATAAACTTGACACCACCCCCTTGCGGGTGGCATCATGTGACGTCAGTTTATTGCAAATCGTCGGGGTATTTTCCGGTTATTATGACACATTCAAGCACTTGAGTGCACGAGAAGAAAATGTGGGCTCACTGCAGTTTACTTTGTACTTTGTTTTCTTGGTTTTTCCTTGATGGTAACTTAACTTAATGGGTTTTTATACATACGAGGTGTGTTCAAAAAGTAAGGTGACTCTTCAAATTTCGCGAATTTCAAATTTTTCGATTATCGAAACCTTTTAGAAGTTATACGAGTTGTGTTCAAAAAGTAAGGTGACTTTTCAAATTTCAAATTTTTCAAATTTTTCGATTATCTTCAGTTTTGGGAACAAGAAAAAGTCACATGGGGCCAAATCCGGTGAATATGGTGGCTGAGGCATTATTGTGGTGTTGTTTTTGGCCAAAAAATCCAAATCCTTTGATCCACATTTTTCGATAGCAAAAAATCGCCGAGCTCGCAAAATAACTTGTAACTTTACGCCTCTCACAACCAAACAAAAGAGGATGTTCCATTGAAACTTGGTACAGATGTTAGGGAAGAGTGTACCAATATAACAAAACAAAAAAATCGATAATCGAAAAATTTGAAATTCGCGAAATTTGAAGAGTCACCTTACTTTTTGAACACACCTCGTATTTATAGACTAGCATTAACTAGAAGTGATTCTTTTTTCACTTTAAAAACCTGCTTAACATTAATATATATTAATCTTCCTAATGTTAAGAATGTATATAAAGATTAAAAAATATACATATCATAGTTAACTTATCATCAAGGCACTTACACATCACTAGTTTCTCCCAGTGTAGCCGCACATTTGTAGGCATGTTTGGCAGCAGCAGCTCCCC